AGCTCAATTTGGCTCCACTACCTGAAACAGACAAACCGGTAATAGTACAGCCATGATCTTTTCTGGCAATGATTTTATCCTGAAAACTAATAATATAAAGTAGATTTGAGCAGATATTTAGGGTTCCAAGCTTCAAATCAGAAGTTGAGGAACTATAGCCAAAATAGTTTTTTTCACGGCGAAAGAAGTTCAATTTGGGTTATCCACCTAAAACATACAAACCATTAATTATACATCCATTTCTTTCGGAGCCACAAACTCTTTCTCTCTGGGTCCGTTCAAAACCATAACTTCCTCCACTCTGAGTCCGTTCAGAACTACAGTCTCTTCCTCTCTGCGTCCATTTAGTACCAGGACCTCCTCCTATCTTGGTCCATTCAGAACCGCCACTTGCTGTCTGTAAGATCCTCTCTGGGTCCGTTCAGAACCAGAAACTCTTCCTCTCTAGGTCTGTTCGGTACCAGAACCACTTCCTCTCTTGGTCCATTCAGAACAAAAACCTCCTCCTCTTCAGGTTCATTTAAAACCAGAATCTCTTTCTCTATGCCGTTCAGATCAGAACCTCCCCTTCTCTGGGTCAGTTCAGAACGTGAACTCCCTCCTCTATAGATCCATACAGAACCAGATCAAAATCAAGTAGATATTTTTGGTTCCCAGCTTCAAATCAGAAGTTGAGGAACTATAGCCAAACTGCGCTTTTCAGAGTTAGAGGAGTTCAATTTGGCTTCTCCACCTGAAACAGACAAACCGTTAATGATACAGCCATGATCTTTTCTGGCAATCATTTGAACCTGAAAAAAAACAATATAAAGTAGTTTTGAGCAGATATTTTTGGTTCCAAGCTTCAAATAAGAAGTTCAGGCCAAAATACGCTTTTCAGATTAAGAGGAGTTCAATTTGGATTCTCTACCTGAAACATGCAAACCATTAATTACATATCCATTCCTTTCGGAAACACAACCTCTTTCTCTCTGGGTCCGTTCAAAACGATAACCTTCTCCACTCTGAGTCCGCTCAGAACTAGAATCTCTTCCTCACTGCCTCCATTTAGTACTAGGACCTCCTCCTCCCTTGGTGCGTTCAGAACCACAACCTCATCATCTCCTGGCTCCGTTGAGAACCAGAACATTCTACTCTCTGGGTCCGTTCAGAAGCTCCTTCTCTCTGGGTCCGTTCAGAACCAGAACCTCTTCTTATCTGGGTCCTTTAAAACCAGATTCTCATCCTCTCTGGGTCCATTCAGAACCCGAACATGTTCCTCTCCGGATAAGTTCAGAATCTTTTTATCTCTGGGTCCATTCAGAACAACCGCGTGCTGTCTGGAACTCTCTCTGGTTCCGTTCAAAACCAGAACATCCTCTTCTCTGGTTCCGTTCAAAACCAGAAACTCTTCCTGTCTGGATCCGTTCAGAACCACGTCCTCATGTCTGTGTTCGTTCAAAACCACAACATCTTCCCCTCTGGGTCAATTTAGAACCAAAACCTCTTCCTCTCAACGTCCATTCAGAACCACCGCTTCCTCTTTTGGTCTGTTCAGTATTAGAACCTCCTCCTCTCTGTATCCGTCCAGATACAGAAAATTCTCCTCTCTGGGTCCATTCAGAACAGAACCTCCTCATCTCTGGGTCCGTTCAGAACCAGAACCTCTTCCTCCCTGGGTCTGTTCAGAACAAGATTATACTCCTCTCTGGTTACGTTCAGAACCTAATTTTCTCTGGGTCCATTCAGAACCAGAACCTGTTCCTCTCTGGGTCCGTTTAGAACCTAATACTCTCTTGGTCCATTCAGAACCAGAACCTGTTCCTCTCTGGGTCAGTTCAGAACCTAATTCTCTCTGGGTCCATTCAGAACCAGAACCTGTTCCTCTCTGGGTCCGTTTAGAACCTAATACTCTCTGGGTCCATTCAGAACCAGAACCTCCTCCTCTCTGGGTCCATTCAGAACCAACTACTTCTGTGTTGGTCAGTTTCAGAACCACCTCCTGCTGGCTGGATGCATTCAGAACCAGAACCTGTTTCTCTCTGGGTCTGTTCAGAACCAGAAACTGTTCCTCTCTGGGTCAGTTCAGAACCAGAACCTTTTCCTCTCTGGGTCCATTCAGAACCAGCTCCTTCTGTCTAGGTCTGTTTCAGAACCAACTCCTGCTTGCTGGGTGCATTCAAAACCTGAACCTATTCCTCTATGGGTCTGTTCAAATCCAGAACCTCCTTGTTTCTGGGTCAGTTCAGAATGTGAACCTCCTCCTCCCTGGGTCCATTCAGAACCAGAAACTCCTTCTCTCTAGGTCCTTTAAGAACCAGGACGTCCTCCTCTCTGGATCCATTTAGAACCAGAATGTCCTTCTCCATGGGCCCGTTAAGAATCTGAACCTCTTCCTCTCTGGGTCCATTCGGAACCAGAACCTCTTCCTCTCTAGGTCCATTCAGAACCACCTCCTCTTCTCTGGAGTCGTCTCTCTGGGTCCGTTCATAACCAGATTCTCATCCTCTCTGGGTCTGTTCAAAATCCAATTCTCTCTGGGTCTGTTCAGAACCAGAACCTGTTCCTCTCTGGGTCCGTTTCAGAAAAAGATCATCCTCCTCTCTTGATCCGTTTAAAACCACAATCTCCTCTGCTGGTTGGGTGCATTAAGAACCTGAACCTCTTCCTGTGTGTGTCCATTCAGAACCCGAACCTCTTGCTCACTTGGTCCATTCTGAACAAGATACAGCCTAGCAGAACGGAAAGAGAAATCAAGCGTATGAGGAGAGAAATCAAGTCACTCTCCAAACAATTCAAAAATGCCCCAACAGAGGAAAGGGAAGGCATCAAGGACCTAACAAGTCAAATCCGGGATCGTTTAAGCAGACTCAGAAGAGCAGAGAGCTTACGAAAGAAAAGGAGGGACAGAGAGAAGAAGCGGGCACAGTTCATTAAAGACCCTTTCCAATTCACTAGAGCACTTCTAGGTGAGGCAAAATCTGGAAAGCTGACCAGCCCGAGAGAGGAAGTGGAGGCATTCCTGGAGGAGACCCACAGTGATAGCTTCAGGAATCAGAACCTGGAAGGTAACCCACCCATCAGCAGCGTAGAGGCCCCCAAAAAGGAACTCAATATCAATGAACCAACATGGAAAGAAGTCCAGGAGGTAGTGAAGAAGGCCAGATCAGGTTCTGCCCCCGGCCCAAGTGCCATACCCTGTAAGGCATATAAAAAGTGCCCAATGCTTCTTCGGAGGATGTGGAGGTTGTTCCGAAGAATTTGGAGAAAGGGTACCATTCCA